GCCATGATCTTAAAGGAAGGGCACGTGATGATATTGGCGTGGACGGTGCACCCTGCTTGGCTGATGTTAGGCAAGACGCTTCTTCTATTTCAAAAGCCGTAGTAATAATAGTAATTGTATTTCTGTTTAAAACAAAAGAAAATAAGTCCAGATCATTTTTATGCTTCTTTCTTTTTTATTTTGCTGTAATACATTGTAGTAGAGATTATCAAACCATCAGAATCTCATGCCTACTCATGCCTTACTCTCACTCACTAATACACAAAAAGTTGATAACTTGTGTCCTAGCAACAGCTTCTCTTCATCGTATAAAAACGGGCCTGTTTTTATCTGAATGCACTGCAGAATGGAAGGTAATGGAGGAGAGGAAGGTCAGATTCTGTCTAGTGTCCAGGAGGCACAACACATCCAAAATATTCTACACATTTTCTGTATCAACAGGCTCCGGGAAAGTAGCATACAGGTCAGCAGAAAAGAGTAAGAGGCAGCAGTTCCTACAAGCATGAACACATTCACTGATACTAGATGGAAATGTAATGAATATTTGCTGCAAGGTCTGCATAATATTTCATCCTCTGACATTTTACCAAAGGGCATGATGGGAAAAAACAAGTCCAGAGCAGAGATTTGCATTATTCTCTACTGCTGCTGCAGAACATATCTAAAATATTTCAATGCTCCAGTTCATGTCTGAAATGCCTTTAGTAGAAACATTTGTAAAGAATTCAGATGTAAGTTGACATCTATCTATTTTTAAAGCCAAATCTTTTTCTAGTTCTAGTTCAAAGCCAAGTTTTAGACTTTGTACAGTATGTGGTGTTTATGTAATTATTACCCGTGTGTGGTTTATTTGTTTCTGTTAGCAAAATATCTCATTAACCACTGGATGGCTTTAGCCGGATTTGAGATGGTCTCTACAGCTTATCAACAATAGTTCATCCATCCATCCATCCATCCATCCATCCATCCATCCATCCATCCATCCATTATCTTTACCCACTTCTTCCTTTTCGGGTCAAAGGAGTCACTGGTGCCCATGTCCAGCAGTCACTGTGCAAGAGGCAGGGGACACCCTGGACATGTCTCCAGTCCATCACAGGGACACATAGAGACAAACGAGACAAACAAACATTCACTCTCTCACTCAACTAGGGACAATTTAGAGTTACCAATCAGTCTAACATGCATGTTTTTGGTCTGTGGGAGGAAACCGGAGTACCCGGAGAAAACCCACGCATGCACGGAGAGAACATGGAAACTCCACCCAGAAAGCCCCCTCGGATTTGAACCGGCAACCTTCTCGCTGAGAGGCTCTACCAGCTGTGCTGCCTCAACAATAGTTGACACAAAAATGACTCCATCATAATTTTGTCCAATAACCTCATCTGTTGTATAGATTTTTTTTCAGCTTTGATGTGGCTGTAGCTGAGATTCATATCCAAAACTTGCTCCAAGCTCTGACTGATAGCACAAAATCATTCATTTACACGTTTTCCATCAACTATTGGATCAATGCTGTCTGTTCATAAGCAAAATATATCATAAACCACTGAATTGATTTATTAAAACTTTTAGGAAAGCAATCACTAGACGTACGTCTCCAACTGATTAACTTTTGAAGCCAACTCATTAAAATGTGGTTGCTACAGTCAACAGACCTTAGAGAGCACAAAGATGGCTATAACTCAGTCAGTTTAGAAGATATTCTGCCAAAATTTGTTGCAGTAGCTGAGAGTCATTAGCAGAGGCATTATGGTATTTTAAAAGTTTGAACAAAATAGCTACAACTCCGTCATTTGATGATGATGATGATCTTAGTTTAAAACTCTGGGATGGAACTTGCAGGCCTTTATTGTTTGTGCAGTGATTTTCCAATTAAAACTTTTGTCGTGACTGCAACCTTTCTCCTGTCGTACCTTTAAAACCGGCTGTTGTCTCGTGTCTCCTGAGCAGTGAAAGCAGACTCTCTGGTTGGAGCATCCTGTGTCTTGACATTCTTGTGGGCCAGGGTTAGGATTACATACATTTGGTGTCAGTGTTTCTGAGCAAGAGCAGAGATCAGTTCAAGGAATCTTTTGTTTGGCATCTGGCAAAAGCTGCTGGCTTCTTATTTCACAGTAACCTTGGCCACGGGCTACTCTGTCGACTTTGTTGTGAGGAGCCTTTGATTTGTCGAGGAAGAGGAGGGACACGCCTAGTCCCACACAAAGCCTGCTGCACATACCACACCAAGTATCCTCTGTCTGTTAATGACTCACTCGTTTCCATCCTATCTTCTGTGTGAGACGTTCACATTTAACAGCACATTTTCAGCGAGGCTGTGCCTTCCTGTTGGAACAGAAAGATGAGGGAAAGATTAACTGGCATCCTGTGATGGACAAGAAATGGTTCATAGTTGAAAATGTTTGTGCAAATATCCTGATTCATGCTCAATAATCCAGGTAGAAAAATCCAGCAAAGGTAAGTCAGGTCCTCTGGACGGTTTCTTTTTGTTGAAACGTTTCATCTTTCGTCCAAAAGACTTCATCCGTCTGAGGAGCCGCAACAAACTCATTCTTATAAATAACACCTTCAAATAGTGGGTCAACCAGTTTGATGGTGCTCAGGTGGTTTCTGGAGACCACCCTCTCCCCCGCAGACTCGTTTGAGGCAGTCATGGCTAAAGTTTGAGTTTGTTGCAGCTCTTTGGACTGATGAAGTCTTTTGAATGAAAGACGAAACGTTCAACAAAAAAAACAAAAACATCCAGAGGACCTGACTTACTGTATTTTCCACATTATACGTGGCTCCGGAGTATAGGTCCAATCAATCAAAAACATGCACCAAGAAGAGGAAAAAAACATAAACAAGTTGCTTCGGAGCATAAGTTGCGTTTATTATGCGTCACCGCTGACCCCCGGGAAACGTGGTCTGGTGCTGTGGCAAAAATTGATTGGCTGACAAAAATGGATTGGCGGCCACGGGAGCGTGCACGGGAGGACTCGCTGTTGCAGTTCTTCTAAAGTTAACAAGATTAACACCTAAAACATTTGTTTGCTCAACATTCTAGCAAAGGTGTTTCAGTTTAACGTTTACTTAATAAATGCACTTTAAGGTCAAAAAAGCTTCATTTTGCCTGGTCGGGATGGAGAGGGAAGTCTTCGCAGCCTTTGGGGAATCAGCTGGACGTTTGTTGCAGAGTTGGCTGGTCGGCTGCTTTCACTTTCATCTTCTGCGCATTTTGTCGTATTTCCAAAATGCTGTACCGTAATTTTATTTTACACTTCTTGCAAACAGCCGTGCTCTTGTAAAGCTCTGTCTTCCCCCGGAACATTGTAGGATCTGAAATAATTTTTAAAGACGAAAGAGCGGGTTGAATCGTGCTGTCCCCTCCTCCATGCTAGCAGGCTCCATTCATATAAAGGGAGCTGGCTAACTAGCTTGCTGTACGGTGGCCTACACGGCCCAATTCTACGGTGGCCAAGCGGACACATAATGCAATATGCAGTACGCTCGGGAGTAGAAGTGTAAAAAAAGAAAAACAAACGCATTTTAAAATCGATGTATGGGCCTTTAGAATCGATTCAAAATCACCAGGACTAAGAATCTAGATTCTGCTTCATGTCAGTATGAATGAACATTTAACGTGTCAGTCAAAAACTGTCATGAATGGGTAAAAAAAACGTATACAAATCACTTCGGACTATACGTCGCAGGACTGGCCAAGCTATGAAAAAAACATCGACTTATAGTCCAGAAAATATGGTAACTTTGTTGGGTTTGTGCAAATACTTGAAAAGTAAGTCTGGTCATTTTTCAAATCATTTAAGCACGTTTCTACAGTTTTTACCTTAAAGAAGAGCATATAAAGGTCAGATTGTTGAGCTGTGAGGAGCTCAGAGTCACGGACCTCCTAAGGAGAGAAACAAGGCTGCCTACTGTCAGTGAGGGGGGGCAGTGCCAGGCCTCAGAGGTGTGGACCAGACTAACCTTAAGAAAAGAAGACATTAAACTGCAGACAGACACTGTTTTATTTGTTTTGTGAACAAATAACAGTTTTATTTAGCTTGATTACAGCTGAACCCAAACCCTTACAAATGGTGTGTTCTTGTTGAAGCTGACGAGGAGAATTATTTACAGTTTAGATGTTTTTTTTTTATGTGCTGCAACTTTTTCTAATTTGTGCATTATCCAAAACAGAGTGATTCTGGAATGAAAGGATGTAGCTATAAAATAATTTTTGCTGTGGAAAAATGTTTTTTGAAGTTAAATCGTGTCCAGACTACAGAATATGTTGTGCAGGATGTTGATTTTTTTACTGAACCGGAGTGAAGTTGTTTCTCCTTCGAACAGCCCCGTGCATTCAGTCTGCTCTACGTTTCACTGTATATTTCCCAAATGTCTGCACGCTCATTTCCTGCCACCTATCCTGCCCCAACAACACCCCCTCCCTTTCCAGTCTGCAGTCTCTTGACCAGTGTGTTGAAACAGAGTAATGTGGGGTTTTAGCCGGTGAATGGGCAGCTTTGTGTGGAGCGGAAGAGAATAGCTCAGTTTTACTAAATAAACTTGGAAAGAAAAACCGTAGAGGAAAAAAATAGATTTACAGCCTCTCATTACACCTCTGTGTTTAGATAATCTAGGAGGGATTGCACAGAGAAACAAGTTATTGAAAAGGAGGGATACCAGAAAGATAGGAAGTTGAAAAACTACAAGAGTTTGTCTGCATGCATTGCTGCACAGTTAATCATCTCTAAAACCCTTTAAGGTTGATGATCTGCTTATGAGCCCAGCGGAGCGTTGCAGTTTGTGGAAACATTGGATTCCTCATCTGTAAAATGAAAAGTTTTTGAAGGTGCTGTGCTGGAAATCTGAACAAACACATTAATCCAAAGCTACTCACAAGCTGTTGCATTTTATATCAAGTTTTAAACCACGCCTGGTTTGCAACGGCAGCTCTCTCCTAGCTCGCTGTGGTTTTGAATCTAATGTTTTTCATCTCTAAAAAATTTTTATTCCAGCCCTTTATGCCCCTGGCAAACCTAAAGTGTTCTCCGGACGTCCACCATTTCCTGTGCCAAGCCTTTATTCCAGCGTGCACCGAGGAGAACAAGGTGATCCGCCCCTGCAGGGAGAAATGCGAGGCCGTTCTGTCTGACTGCACGGAGGTTATTCGCATGTTTGGTGTCACCTGGCCTCCTGAGCTACAATGTGACAAGTAAGAAAACATCAGTCTGTTAGAGCCAGTGGTGTAGTCTACGTGATACGCGGGCATACGGAGTGTACCCACTAGAAAAGCTTGGGAATTTCTGTATACCCACTTAAAAGTTCCTGTTTTTTGTATAATTAATACTTCTGTACTTACTACTTAATACTTGAACATGCTTTGCTTTGATACCGTTTTATCAATGCTATAACATGTCTTTAATACAAAGTCAACTGTTGTACAAAGTTTGTTGTACTTTTATTCAAATAAAAGCATCGGAGAAATTTTGAAATGTTCAATATGCGTAAAATTCAAAATAAATTGACGATTACATTATACTAACGGGTGTACTTTGGTTTCTAAGCACAGTGTACACACTACAAAAATGTAGACTACACCACTGATTAGAGCTAATATGGATTCCTCCATAATCATCTTATTGTTTTTCTCTTCAGATTGGCCTCGTGTGAGTCAGATGGTTCTGTGATTTCTTCAACCACACCGTTGACCCGCTCCTCACCTAAGAGAGACCTTGGTTTCTGGTGCCCACTGCAGCTCAAGACCAGTCCAGGCCATGGCTCATTGTTCCTGGGTGCCCAGGACTGCGCTCCCCCCTGCTCCAACATGTACTTCAAACCCCACGACATTGAATTTGCCAAGAGCTTCATTGGCGTGTGTTCCATCATCTGTCTGGGCGCCACACTCTTCACTTTTCTCACTTTCCTCATCGACGTCAAGCGCTTCCGATACCCAGAGCGTCCGATCATCTTCTACGCCGTCTGTTACAGCTTTGTCTCGCTCATATACTTCGTTGGTTTCCTGCTGGGGAACCATGCCGCCTGCAGCAAGGCATCTCACCCTGCAGGTGTGGACACCGTGGTGCTGGGCTCTCACAGCAAAGGCTGCACTCTGCTCTTTATGCTCCTCTACTTCTTCACCATGGCTGGCATCGTCTGGTGGGTCATACTCACCATCACCTGGTTTCTGGCAGCTGGACCCAAGTGGAGCTGTGAGGCCATTGAGAAAAAAGCGGTATGGTTTTTAAATAAAAATGTTTCAGTGGGATGACAATCTTTATGCACCTCATGATTGGATTTGGTTATTCAGTGGGCTGCGATGTGATCATGAAACAATTATTAGCACATTTCAATATTATGAAACTTTAATAATTGTGGCTTATTTTACATAAACAAATACTAATGTTTATTTTTCATAGAGTGCACAATATTATTTATGTCTGAAACCCTATTATTCACAGGCTGCTGACCAACAATTAGCATAGATGCTAATTTCTTACAGACATATTCAAAGTTCATTAAAGAAATTGTGCAAAAAGTGTGATAACTCAGATTTATTGCACATTACAGTAAGCTATGCTAACGCTACAGGAGCAAAAGCCACAGCCCAGCAACTACTTTGACAACTCTTAAAGTAATGCAGATTAGTTATTTTTGGCCTTTTAAAATCAATTCAGAATCCTCCATGTCTATAATGCAATGCTACTAAAAATACATTTGTGGAACATCCGTTCAGAGAAACCATCACGTAGTAATTTTGTATTTTTTTCTCCTCTCTCCTCAGGTTTGGTTCCACACTGCAGCTTGGGGAATCCCCGGCGCTTTAACGGTCATGCTGCTGGCCCTGAACAAGGTTGAAGGGGACAACATCAGCGGCGTTTGCTTTGTGGGGCTCTACGATCTGGACGCACTGCGGTACTTTGTTCTGGCCCCGCTGTGTGGGGGCGTTGTAGTCGGCCTCTTCCTCATCTTGGCCGGTATCGTTTCCCTCAACCACGTCCGGCAGGTGATCCAGCATGACGAGCGCAACCAAGAGAAGCTGAAGAAGTTCATGATCCGCATCGGTGTGTTCAGCTGCCTCTACCTGGTCCCGCTGGTCACCCTGTTAGCGTGCTACACGTATGAACAAAGTCACCGCAGCACCTGGGAGAACACGTGGATCCATGACCGCTGTCAGGAGTACAGCATCCCCTGCTCTTACAAGGTAGCTGTGGCTTAGCACCTGTCCGCACACCATGTCTGGTATCTGCACAAAATCTTTATAAAACTGTCCTGGGCTCAGCAAAAGATTAAACAAGAAACACTCATTGGGGGTTTTAAGTAAAAATACTTCTCACTGCTCATTAGAGTTTTCTCTTTTGAATGTCCAATAAGACACCAAAACAAGACATAAACGTTGATATAAATGGGACTAGTTATGACAAGATGGCTGTTTAGTAAAATATGAAAGGTGGTTTGAGATGAGGTTTTTCCTTTAACAGACATTTCAATAACTGACTAAATCTAGATGTATTACTACTAGAGATCTGTGTGCAGTTAGGGCGTTGTTCACGCTCTGTTTCTGTTTTGCCTCTAATAAAACCTCAAAGGCCACACTGGAACAGAGTTTTCAAACATTTGTCTTTCTGACACTCATCCACTGATTTGGTCCAAAGAAAAATGTCTTTCAGCAGACAGCTATACATGAGCACACAGAGTATCACAGTTATGTAAAAGGACAAAGTGAATGATTACATCATAAACTCAAACTAATTACAGTCAATATGCCAAAAATTGCTCATTCATTCAATAAGAGGCAGCCCCCTCACAAAGAAACACCCTGCTGGGAATTCTACATCTATGAGTTTCTTTTTGTCTCTGTCAACATTAGATGAGCAACTTGTAACAAAAAATGCAAAGTTTAGTTTACTAAAGCATCACTGCAGGACAAAAATCAGGTCGACAACAAGATTTCATAGGTCACTGCCTAGTATAGGCAGTGACCTATTATTATCCACATCAGAGCCAGAGATTCTTTATTGTCATTCACATCACGTGGTACATGTAGTGGAATGAAATTGTGTACACGGGGTCCCAGTTACATCAAACAATAGCAAAAATGTAAAGTGTAAAAAGAAACAGTATATAAGGATCTGAGATATAAACTAAGATATACACTAAACAAACACCCAACGGTACGCTAAAAGATCTAAGATGCATGCCAGTCACTAATGGTGCAAAACAACACACCGAACAGCAGCAGCACGATTCTCAGAGGTTCTGTTCAGCTATAATTTACATGCTTAATGCGAGCACTAACATAAACTAAACTAACATAAACTAGGATTTATTCAAAACATGCAACAAAAATACAGAGACAAGGTGCCAAAAGTGAAAAAGAAATAAATCTACAGCAGCATGGTCCAATTGTCAGAGTGGTTCTGATGACGGTGAGGTTATCTTAGCAACATGGTCCAGTTTGCACCATGGTACTGTTAGCGGCGTGGCGTTGTTAGCAGCGTTAGCAGGTCTTGTCAGCAGCATGATGATAATAAGGACTGCAGCAGCTGCCTCCCAGACTGCCCTCCAGAACTGGGTCCAGCAGACAGAGAACATCCAAGGTTCCCCCGTGGAACCAAGCGGGGTTCGCAGAGTTCGGTCCGATCAGGCAGACGGAGGATCTTGTTAGCAACATTAGCAGGTCTAGTTAGCAGGTCCTGTCAGCAGCTCAATGGTAACAATGACCGCAGCAGCTGCCCTCCCAGACAGTACTCCAGAACTGGGTCTGGCAGACGGAGAACATCCAGGTTTCCCCGTTGAACCAAACGGGTCCGTAGAGTTCAGTCCATGCAGGCAGATGGAGGATCATGGAGACAGCCGCCATGACAGGCCTGATCCCAAGGCTGGAAGGACTGAACCACGAAGGCAAGGCAGCGACACAGAAAACTCCACAAGTGTGTCGCGGCCATACCCGTACTGTGGATGTGCAGTGTAGGTGGAAAAAAAAGGTAAAAACAAAAACAACATGAACAAAAATAGATCGAGTTCACCAGGAGCCTGTGAAGCTGCGACTCGACCATCTTAGTTCATAATCCAGGTACAAATCCAACAATGTCCAGTCAGGTCATCTGGACAGTTTCTTTTTTTGCCGAGACGTTTCGTCCTTCATCCAAATGACTTCTTCAGTCCAAGAAGCCAAAAATAGCAAATATCCAAGATGGCGGCCTTAGCTTAAAGGGAAAAAATATGATACCTCAACCATTTTTAAAGCTTTTCAGCTGGCATTTGGTGTACTGGTAGCTGAGAACGAACCCTAATAGACTGACTGCAAATCAAAAATCCAAGATGGCCACCTGAGCTAAAAAGGAACAATACTACAAATCAGTCAGTTTCAGTGATGAGCTGAAAGTTGGTGTGATGATAGCTGAGAACGTTCCCCATCACAAAATGAATCCAAATCAAAAATCCAAGATGGCCACCTTAGCTAAAAAGGGAAAACATATGATAACTCAGGCATTTTAGAGCTCTTCAGCTGCAACTTGGTATAGTGGTAGCTGAGAGTGAACCCAAACACATATTACTGTCAAATCAACAATTTAAATTGGCATCAGTCTGATATTCCCCATCAAAGTTTCTACAGGAACTTTCTAGTTGTTAAATATCATCCATCCATCCATCCATCCATCCATTATCTTTACCCGCTTCTTCCTTTTTGGGTCGCGGGGTTCACTGGCGCCCATATCCAGCAGTCACTGTGTGAGAGGCGGGGGACACCCTGGACAGGTCTCCAGTCCATCACAGAGACACATGGAGACAAAAGAGACAAACAACCATTCACTCTCTCACTCACACCTAGAGACAATTTAGAGCTACCAATCAGCCTAACATGCATGTTTTTGGTCTGTGGGAGGAAACTGGAGTACCTGGAGAAAACCCACGCAGCACGGAGAGAACATGCAAACTCCACCCAGAAAGGCCCCTGGACCGGGATTTGAACCGCTGCTCACTGGGAGGCAGCAGCTCTACCAACTGCACCGCCATGCTGCCCTGTTAAATAACAATTGTAGGATAAATGTAAAGCATCTTATGTTATCCTGTCGTGTTTTAAACTTCACCAGGATTACAGTCGTTGAGGACTGCACTCATTGTTTTAGCTGTTCAGCAGCACATTGTGAAAACGAGCCCAGTCCCTTCTGGAGTGAATGATGTTTATCTGCTTTGTTTTCCTGTTTGTATTTTTAACTAACTACTTCTGCATGCATTATTTTGTTCTACCTCAGCCAGTCCTATCTGAAAACATTCATCATGTTTTCTCTATTTTTGTCTTCCTGTGCTTGTAGCTTGTCGTTTGATCATTTTGACTTTTAGTTTATTGTTTTGCTACTTTACTTCTAGCTAGCATTTTGAAATTTTTAGCTAGAATTTTGCTACTTTACCTTAAATAAATAATGTTATTAACTGACTTTTTATATATCAATGTTTCTGTTCAGTGTCCTGAGATAAATTCTTTTGTGACTTGGTGCTATATAAATAAACTGAATTGAATTGAACTTTTAGCTTTTAACTAGCCTTTTCCTACATTTAGCTTTAGCTAGTGGTTTGCTACTGTTAATTAGCATTTTGCTTCTATTAACTCTTACCTAGTATTTTGTCTCTTAGCTTTAAGCTAGTCTTCTCCTTTAGCTTTTAGCTAGTGTTCTGCTCCTTTTAGCGTTAACAGCATACTTTCAGCTTCTGCAAATTTCAGCAGTCATTCAGCACTTGGCATTCTTGCTACATTGTTGCAGAAAATGCAATATCTAGTTGAATATCAGTTTAGTTTAGAAACTGGTTTGGTTCTGTGACACTCTAGCTTTAAACCATGGGGATCTTATAAGCATTTGGACCTGTGGCTTGTGTTCCAGGCTGCAGAGCTCGACCGTCCTGACCTCTCACTGTTTCTGGTAAAGTACTTGATGACTCTGGTCGTTGGGATATCTGCAGTGTTCTGGGTCAGCAGCAAAAAGACCTGTTCTGAGTGGGCCTACTTCTTCAACAGGACCCACAAAAAAGAGTAAGATTACATCTTTAACCACCTTGTAATGGTTGCAGCAGAAACACAGATCTAACTGTGGTGTCCTGCGACCCGCAGTCCCATCAGCGAGAGCCGCCGGGTGCTCCAGGAGTCCTGCGAGTTCTTCTTGAAGCACAACAGCCGCGTCCAGCACAAGAAGAAGCACTACAAGTCCAGCTCCCACAAGCTCAAAGTCATCTCCAAGTCTATGGGCACGAGCACCGGCGTCGATCCGACCAGTGCCGGCACCAGTCAGGGCATGTCTGCCGTGGGCTCGCTGTGTGACACCCCAGCCAGAGAGCATCTGGACCGAGGCACCTCCAGCCGAAGCTCCAGGAGGGGGGAGAGAGAGCGGGAGAGAGAGGGGGGAGAGAGACGCAGCAAAGGGGGGAGCTCCAGTAAAGTCAGCAGCCAATCAGGGAGCATCAGCAGAGTACCTGACGGGAGGTAAGATGAGCATGAATATATTTTACATCTTGTTCTTTGTACATCAGTGTTTTACTGAAGCCGAACCATAACCACATAGTTAACTATTAATTTGAGCTTAAAGTGCAAACTCTCAGCCTTGACCTCAGAATATTCACAAACACTTTGAAGGAAACATTTTTAAGAGCTTAAATGTAACTCAAGAAAGGGCAGAGTCATCTGGTTCTGCCATCACGGCACACAAGTCATTTTCAGTCTAGACTCTTCATTTGTGGTTCCACAGTGAAACAAGCTGCCACTCGCCATCCCCTTTTATCTTCTAAGATCTTTTACATTTTAACTTCTATCATGTGGCTTTAGATTTGATGCTGAGCTTCAAAACATTCAAAACCTTACCCGTACATTCCCTGCTTATTATATGGTCTTTATCTTCAATTCACCTATTTAAGGATTGATGTTCTGAACAGAATGTTGCCAAATGATTTTTCTTAATTATGTGGAGGATCTTGTGACCAACACTCCAAGCTTCTTGTATTTTTAGGCTCATTGCTGCATTTAGTTTTCCTCTGGATTATCTAGAACGGGTGAATCAGCCACTCTAAATCCTCCACCTCTCTAGTTCGATGGTTTTGCCTCAGCATCGTGACATCCGTTACTCCTGCGGAGATCTCTCTTCACAGCATGTCCAGTTCAAATGACATGCCACCAGTCAACCCCTTTTGTATCTGTAAATAATGAAGTTATAGCTACACCTGCTAACAGGACCATGATGCTAACAGGACCATGATGCTAACAGTACCATGATGCTAACAGGACCATGATGCTAACAGTATCGTGATGCTAACAGGACCATGATGCTAAAAGAACCTCACTGCCACACTCTGCTAACAAGACCATGATGCTAACAGGACCATGATGCTAACAGGACCATGATGCTAAAAGAACCTCACTGCCACACTCTGCTAACAAGACCATGATGCTAACAGGACCATGATGCTAACAGGACCATGATGCTAAAAGAACCTCACTGCTACACTC